CTATGGATTGAGTAAGATCCTTCAAGTAAGTTGTTATCGATGCAAAGCAATAAAAAATGCTCTAAATATGTATGATTGATTGGTGTGGGAGAAATAAGCTTTATACGATCTTGTGATGTGGAAGTAATAAAAGCGATAGACTGCATAATAAAGGTTCATATCACAAGGGGCAATATAAAGTGACGTTCTTTCGCATTGAGATTTTATATATCCAACCATAAAAGTGCATGGCAACCTCTGCTTCCCTCTGCGAAGGGCCTATCCTTTATTTTTATCTTCTACCTTATGCAAGAGTCATGGTGATCTTCACCTTTTCTTTTTCATTTTATCCTTTGGCAAGCTCAGCATGTTGGAAAGAACATGATATATATATATATATATATATATATATATATATATATATATATATATATATAATTGGATGTAGGGGAGCATGAACCATTATTGTTGACATTACCCCTGAGGTAAAAGGTTGTGGGGCAAAACTATAAGCCCCTATCTTTCTCTGTGTCCGATCAAAACTCCGTAACCACAAGTATCGCGTGAGTGTTAGCAATTATGGAGGACTAAATGATAGTTGAGTATGTGGACTTGCTTTTTAGCTCTGACATAGACTCTTTCCGATGTTATGATAAATTGCAATTGCTCCAATGACTGAGATTATAGTTTGTTGGAGCCCAATAAGGTTTATGATTTATACTTTTGCTTTGTGAATATATCATCACTTGAATATAAGTAATCATATGATAAAATCTATAAATGTTGTTGTTATGAGAATAATCATGATGCCTTCATGTCCGTATTTTATTTTTATCGACGCCTCTACTTCTAAACATGAGGACATATTTATTGTTATCGGCTTTTCGCTTGAGGACAAGCGAGGTCTAAGCTTGGGGGAGTTGATACGTCCATTTTGCATCATGCTTTTATATCAATATATATTGCATTATGGGCTGTTATTTCACTTTATGTCACAATACTTATGGCTATTCTCTCTTATTTTACAAGGTTTACATAAGGAGGGAGAATGCCGGCAGCTGGAATTCTGGGCTGGAAAAGGAGCAAATATTAGAGACCTATTCTGCGCAACTCCAAAAGTCCTGAAACTCCACAGAACGTCTTAAAATAAATAAAGAAAAATCCTCGCCAAAGATGAAGGCCAGCGGGCCCACACCCTGCTCACGAGTGTGGGGGGTGCCCCCCCTAGGGCGCGCCCCCTACCTCGTGGGCCCCTGGTGGCTCTCTGACGTCCATCTTCTCCTATATGAGGTCTTTCGATGAGAAAAAAATGAGAAGGAACTTTTCGGGACGAGACTCCGCCGCCATGAGGCGGAACCTTGGCGAATCCAATCTAGAGCTCCGGCAGAGCTGTTCTGCCGGGATACTTCCCTCCGGGAGGGGGAAATCATCACCATCATCATCACCAACGCTCCTCTCATCGGGAGAGGGCAATCTCCATCAACATCTTCACCAACACCATCTCATCTCCAAACCCTAGTTCATCTCTTGTATCCAATTCTTGTCTCAAAGTCCGGGATTGGTGCTAGTAGGTCGCTAGTAGTGTTGATTACTCCTTGTAGTTGATGCTAGTTGGTTTATTTGGTGGAAGATCATATGTTCAGATCCTATATGCATATTATTACCCCTCTAATTATGAACATGAATATGCTTTGTGAGTAATTACGTTCGTTCCTGAGGACAAGGGAGAAGTCTTGCTATTAGTAGTCATGTGAATTTGGTATTCGTTTGATATTTTGATAAGATGTATGTTGTCTAGCCTCTAGTGGTGTTATGTGAACGTCGACTACATAACACTTCACCATTATTTGGGCTTAGAGGAAGGCATTGGGAAGTAATAAATAGATGATGGGTTGCTAGAGTGACAGAAGCTTAAACCCTAGTTTATGCGTTGCTTCATAAGGGGCTAATTTGGATCCATATGTTTCATGCTGTGGTTAGGTTTACCTTAATACTTTTGTTGTAGTTGCGGATGCTTGCAATAGAGGTTAATCATAAGTGGGATGCTTGTTCAAGTAAGAACAACACCCAAGCACCGGTCCACCCACATACCAAATTATCAAAGTATCGAACGTGAATCATATGAACGTGATGAAAACTAGCTTGACGATATTCCCATGTGTCCTCGGGAGCGCTTTTCCTATTATAAGAGTTTGTTCCGGCTTGTCCTTTGCTACAAAAGGATTGGGCCACCTTGCTGCACTTTATTTACTTTTGTTACTTGTTGCTCGTTACAATCTATCTTATCACAAAACTATCTGTTACCACTTATTTCAGTACTTGCAGAGAATACCTTGCTGAAAACCGCTTATCATTTCCTTCTGCTCCTCGTTGGGTTCGACACTCTTACTTATCAAAAGGACTACGATAGATCCCCTATACTTGTGGGTCATCACCTACTACGTGTTATGATCCGGCAACCCTGGAGTGACAATAGTCGGGACCACTCCCGGTGATGATCTTAGTTTGAGGAGTTCATGTATTCACCATGTGTTAATGCTTTGTTCCTGTTCTCTATTAAAAGGAGGCCATAATATCCCTTACTTTCCAATTGGACCCCGCTGCCACGGGAGGGTAGGACAAAAAATGTCATGCAAGTTCTTTCATAAGCATGTATGACTATTTACGGAATACATGTCTACATTATATTGATGAACTAGAGCTAGTGTCGTATCGTCCTAGATTATAACTGTCTCATGATGAATACCGTCCAACAAGTCACCGATCCAATGCCTACGAATTTATCTTATATTGTTCTTACTAAGTTACCATTGCTATCATTAGTATTGCACTTGCTACAAAACTATTGCTATCACTGTTACTGTTACCATTGCTACTGTCATTACTATCAAACTATCATATTACTCTGCTACTGATCATGTTGCTGCAAATAATTAATCTCCAGGCATGGTTGAATTGACAACTCAACTGCTAATACCTTCAAATATTCTTTGGCTCTCCTTGTGTCGAATCTATAAATTTGGGTTGAATACTCTACCCTCGAAAACTATTGCGATCCCCTATACTTGTGGGCTATCACTCCCTGGGCGCGCCCCTTGCCTTGTGGGCCACCTGGCAGGCCCCCGGTGCTCATCTTCTGCTATATGTTGTGTCTTGACCTGAAAAAAATCAGAAGGAAGCTTTCGGGAGGAAGCGCTGCCGTCTCGAGGCGGAACTTGGGCAGAACTAATCTAGGGCTCCGGTGGAACTGTTCTGTCGGGAAAACTTCCCTCCCGGAGGGGGAAATCGAAGCCACCATCATCACCAACGATCCTCTCATCGAGAGGGGGTCAATATCCATCAACATCTTCACCAACACCATCTCTTCTCAAACCCTATTTCATCTCTTGTATCTGATCTTTGTCTCAAAACCTTAGATTGGTATTTGTGGGTTGCTAGTAGTGTTGATTACTCCTTGTAATTGATGCTAGTTGGTTTGTTCGGTGAAATATATGCTCAGATCCTGAATGATAATTAATACTTCTCTGATTATGAACGTGAACATGCTTTGTGAGTAGTTACGTTTGTTCCTGAGGACATGGGAGAAGTCTTGTTATAAGAAATCATGTGAATTTGGTATTCGTTCGATATTTTGATGAGATGTATGTTGTCTTTCCTCTAGTGGTGTTATGTGAACGTCGACTACATGCCACTTCACCATGATTTGGGTCTAGGGAAAGGCATTGAGAAGTAATAAGTACATGATGGGTTGCTAGAGTGACAGAAGCTTAAATCCTAGTTTATGCGTTGCTTCTAAGGGGCTAATTTGGATCCACATGTTTCAGGCTATGGTTAGATTTATCTTAATCTTCTTTCGTAGTTGCGGATGCTTGCGAAAGGGGTTAATCATAAATGGGAGGCTTGTCCATGGAAGGACAACACTCGAGCACCGGTCCACCCACATATCAAATTATCAAAGTAACGAACGCGATCATATGAGCATGATGAAAACTAACTTGACAAATTCGGCGCACGTCTTAAATAGCCGCGACGAGGACCAGACGAAGGGCCCGTCAGCCGCTTCGATGTGGCACAGCGATCGAAGTTGGTTCCTCGGGAACCTACGTCCCCATTGAAGCGGCGGCTGCCGAGAGGTCGCATCGGTCAGCGCCGCCTTCCCTCTCTCCGGTCACATCGCGACATTAATGTCGACCTCGGCCGATATGAATGCGGCGCGATAAGCGACGCGTGCATCGAAAGGAAAGCGCGGGAGGGGCAGGTGACGGGTTGTTGGTGGGCCAGGTGGTCAGAAGCGGGTTTGGAGCGGTGCGGACTCCCACAAACCTTTCCCACGTTGGTTTGCGGGAGAAATCACGTCCGGACAGCTCCGTGGAGCGATACATGTCGGTGTTGGATGGTTTTCACGATCTGAACAACCCGATTCAGACGGTTGCGGGAGGTTTACGGGTCCGCTTTGAAGATGCCCTTATGTTGCCGATCTTGCCGCTCCATCATAGTGTTAGTGTTGGAGCGGAATTGGGAGAGACTTATTTGAAAAAGAAAGTGTGGGTGGGCCGTTGGTAGCTTGCACCTGTGCCCAGCCCAGGAGAAGGCAATGCCTCATCCATAGGAAATAATAAAAAAGTCACAATTAATTAAACTATACTCTCTTCATTTGGAATTACTTGTCGCAGAAATGGATATATCTAGACATATTTTAATTCTAAATACATCTATTTCCAAGACAAGTAATCCGAACGGAGGGAGTAGATGTAATCCGGCGTCTAATCCCTTCTTCCCCGCAGCTACGCTCCGTCAAAGGCACGGCGAAGAAAACCACCAACCACAAATCACACGCCAAAAGCCAAAAGTGGGGAAGAGAAAAGAAAGAAAGCATCGCCGCCGCGGAGCAAATCGAGCAACCAGCCGGCGACGCGGCCGAACCGGAGCAGTCTCGCCGGCCGTCCCATCCATCGAGCTCCCCTGCTCGGCCCCGCTCCGCCGCCCCCGACGAGCCGATAGGGTCCATCTCCCTCCCGGCGATGGCGTCGTCCGCGGATCCGTGGGTGCGGGAGTACGGCGAGGCGGCGCGGCTGGCCGACGACGTTGCCTCCATGGTCGCCGACCGTGCGGCGCTCCCGCAGTCCGGGCCCGAGGTCATGCGCCACACCTCCGCCATCCGCCGCAAGATCACCATCCTCGGGACCAGGCTGGACAGCCTCGAGGGGATGCTGGCCAGGCTTCCCCCCAAATCCATGTACGTTTCGCTCCCTCGCTCGCTCACCCTAGCGCATCTTTCTTTTTTCCTGATTGCCAGCTCCGAAATGCATGGAGGAGGGATGATTTAATTGATTGGTGGTCGATTGCGGTGTCGTTTGACCTAGCTAGCCACCCCCTGCAGATCCATTCAGCTTTTTGTCTGAGAATTCAACACGCGTTAACAAGAAAAGATACTGTGATGATGTAGGAACCTAGTGAACTTGTATAAATGCTGTCGATACCATTTCAGCGTAACCCTAGGATCAAAATTCAGCTAGTTTCCCACCGTTTCACAATTGGCGATGCTGTGTACGCTTTACACCAATTGTGCTTCGCCTGCGTGGGTCGGAGGGTAGTTACAGAGAGAAAGTGGAAATGCCTTGAGAAGTTGAGATCATCTTATCTCTTGTTCGCAGTGGTACGAAGTACCTTCATACATGTGTGCTGATTCATTTCTCACGAGATAACGTTTGGAGTAGTTTTGCCCTGTTAATATGCATGTTCTCTGTGATGGTATGCGTGATATATGGTGTGTGCTGGTTGCTTTTGTACAGACACCAGCACCAATTTATCAATTGTCACAATCACTTCTTCATGGCATCGAGATGTCTTTCCTGTGTATGCTGCTACACAATAACTTCTCTTGATACATTTCAAAATGTATATCTGTTATTTAAAAGAAATATCCACTTATAAGAGATCTTCCATGTTGTGCAGCACGGACAAGGAGCTGAATAAGCGCCGAGACACGCTTTCAAATTTGAAATCTAGAGCAAAACAGATGGCAGAGAGTTTCAACATGTCGACCTTTGCCAACAGGTGTGTTCTGCATTTTGGTAACCATTGCCACCGATGTGATTAACCTTTTTAAAAGAAGGCTCGTCAATGCTTTATCGTTGTTAAAATCTTTTCAGGTGCATATTGATTAAATTTCTTATATGTATTACACATGTGATTTCTCACAATTCAGGGAGGATTTGCTTGGTCAGAGTAAGAAAGCTGCTGATGACATGAGCAGAGTAGCCGGGTTGGATAACCAAGGGATTGTTGGCCTTCAGAGGCAAATCATGAAAGGTACTGATGTATGTATGACTTACTATTCACGCCGCTGTGACAATGAAGTGTTGTGCTGATGTCAGAGTGGTTGGTTACTCGATGTGAAGGCTGGCCTGTCGCCTTCCATTTCGACCACCCTCAGGCAGATACGTCAATGTGGTCGTGACATGTGGGGAGGTGTTTAGGGTGATGTTTAGTTTGAAGTGTTGTCTTTATGACTGGTCAAACAGTCAAACAAGACATTGCTGTTCCTCCTTTGCCTCACAGTGGACATGCCAAATCCATTCCTCTCCTCTCCATTTCATTGGCTTGAGTTTCTGGTGTCAAACATACAAATTCAGAAGTTACCAGTGGCCCTTGCATATATTCCGATTTCTCTAGTAGGATTCGTTCAGTTCCTTTGTTTCGAAAGAAAATGGCGAACTTCTTAAAACGTTGCATTTCTACTCAAAATATATGAAGAGCTATTTGTGACGAAAAACGCATTCCATATTCCACGTGGCTGTTTATCTAAGCTTGCAATTTGCTTGTATATCTACAGTTGGCTACAAATATTAGCAATTCACAAGAGTGATGAACAATTGACAGTTGCCTAATTCATTGATACTGTCTGGCACGACAATTTGCAATTTGCAGAACAAGATGAGGGTCTTGAGAAGCTGGAACAGACGGTGCTGAGCACAAAACATATTGCGTTAGCAGTCAATGAGGAACTTGACCTGCATGCAAGACTGATTGTTAGTTTCTTACTGCAATACCACTTGTTTCTTTGCTCTCTAGACTGTGTGTTCACTGGCCTGTCTTCATGATTGCAGGATGACCTAGACGACCATGTGGATGGTACAAACTCGCGTCTTCAGGTTGTATTTCAGACCCTTTCATGTGGATGACCTCGAAGGAATTTTCAACGCTGCTTGATACTAACATATTTCATGCTTTGCACGAATTGAATTTTGACTCGAAACCCTTTCTCATGCAGCGTGTGCAAAAGAGGCTTGCGGTTCTGAACAAGCGCGCCAAGGGTGGCTGCTCCTGCATGTCCCTGCTGCTGTCCACCGTTGGTATAGTGATGCTTGTGGTTATTGTCTGGCTCCTCATCAAGTATCTGTAACCTCTGCCCAACTCAAATCAGTTTCAAGTGTGCAGTTCTTTCAAAGATAGTGTGGTTACTTCCGCTTCGCCATCACTTCGGCGAGAAATGGGAAATATTGTATGCCACATGTGCCCTTATCGGGTTGAAATGAAAAAGTTCAGACTTTGTATGTGTGCAGTATATGAGTTCATACTTCTTCTCCTTTACTTTGCTGTGCTGTATTACAGTCAATAACGTACACCCTCTGCTTAGGAATACATGTTACGTTTGGATGAGACGCGGTCAATATAATTAAGAAATTTTGAGTGATCTCAAATGCAGTACATATTAACTAAAACCATAAAAATGGCATTTCATAACAAAACTATTCTCATACGATCAGCCTAAACAGTTTAGTGCATATTAACAAAATTTTAACAAAACTCATAATAACTAAGAAATTAGACCGCAGTTCAACATTTCAGTGAAGAAACTCATGCTATGTTGGTAATGGAATATTACATTCAATCGTGTCAAAGTAAGTCCACAGTGAAATGCTACATTCAGTCATATCACAATAAGTCGACGGCTGAATGTTAGATTCACAATTGTGTCAAAAAACCAGCAACCTACGAAAGGCGCACATACCATTCTGATTCTACCTATTCATCACGACGAACAGATATCAACAGCTCTACAACTTACATTTATGACTCGTCATAAACAGATCACTCTTGAAATACATCTAGCATCTAAGCACAGGCTGCAAAACACCATTCTGATTCTACCATCCTTGTCATCTCCTGTCGCCGTGCCTCCAAAGTTGCCCCCGAAAACGGACTTTTGTTGGAATGATTCATGCTGTACTTTGTTCATCTGCGGCAATAAACCGTGAGCACCATTGCCAACCCATACTGAGCTGAATAGCCTAGCTCCAATTGATTCGCCCGTGGGATTCAAATGTTACCTGAGTCTCTGCTCCTGTTTTTTGATATCCTCGAGCAGAACATGAACATCAGCAGGAATGTCGATAGCATAAATAACCTAAAGTAGGTTTTTAGCTCCTGCATTCCGAGGTCAAGGCCTTCAAGTTTCCCATTTTCACCGCCGCTCTTTTGGTCCATATTTCTCTCCAAAATCTCTCCTCCCATAGGGACCCAGTTATCCAGTGCTCCTTGGGATACTACTTGATCGTCGGGTAGGGTTCGCAGCCCTTCCTCGAAAAGTATGAGAAACGCCATGCACCACTTGTTAATGACTCTCTGGAAAGGAAAACTGTGCTGTCAGACATATGGCCAAAAAAAAAAACTATGTGCATGACTAGATGTGCACTGTGCAGATCCTAGATTTGCGTACATCAAATGTTATCTTGTCAACAGGGTTGAACATTTTGAAGCAGTCATCGGTGGATGCTTTCTCATCTCCATATATCTGAATACCAGCAAAGTGATGAGTCATGTCATGTCAATACAAGTTCATAATAGTCGCAACAGAGACAACAGATGAACTTACCTCAAATGTGAAAGGCATTGGCACCTTCGCAATGTCATACAGATAATCAGTTGTAGTCCCATGTGCAAGGTACCTAGCAAGTGATGGGATAAAAAAGCATTAGTACATTTCCTTCGTTGAAGGCTTAGACTAATAACCCTCTTGGATTCACATAGCTTGAGCAACTTGTGAGATGTTACATACCCTACAGCTCCACCACCTGATCCAACTAGGCAGCTGTCTTGGAAATTGCGATGGTTCACATTCTCTAAAACTGACCTCATCAAGTGAGAAGGCGCTCCATCTGGTGTAGTATTCTTGTGGTCATATGGCATAAATAATGCCTGTAGTTGAACAGAAGAATGAGAGAATGTGTAAAAGCAATAGGCATTGACCAAAACTTATTTCTCTAGGTTTCAATACCACTGTGTGGAACTACACATGAGATTGCTACTAAAGACAGTTATATGTTAGGCCCCTCCCTCCGCTTGATGAACAATTGATCAAACTTTATGTTATAGCTGCAGAACGCAAGAGCTGCATTACCTCCATTCCAGAATGCACATTCACCCAGATATGCGGTTTAAATGACTTGGATAGTTCTTGCATGATCTGGGCCTCAGGTTCACTGAAAGGAGCAGTACCAGGATCCTCCTCAAATGGGTTATAATCCTGTAATACAAGCAAAAATGTATAAATGTAGTGCATAAGATTGATGCTGTCCACTAAAGTAAACTCTGATCAATCAACCAACAAAGAACATGCATGGTAAAAAGATAAAGGTGCACTTGCTCAAAGTGTACACAAGTTTAGAAAATTCTGGTTGCCCAACATGACAATAAGAACATACATGGTAACAATAAAGGACCATAGCTATACTTGGTCTATCCACTCCAGATCTGCAAAAATCTGACCTTTAATTCAACTTCAGTTGTTCCTGGATGTTAATCAACCTAACTCTTTTAGGGCAATGCTATATTATTGGCTATAAATTACACAGGTTCGCTAAGTAATATCACACAAAAAGAAACCATAAACTGTGGAAGTTAACATAAAAGACTTCAATCGTTCAAGCTTACTACTCCCTCCGTTCGGAAATACTTGTCCTAGAAATGGTTGTATCTAGATACAACCATTTCTAGGACAAGTATTTCCGAACGGACGGAGTAAGATGCATTTCAATAGAATCAATATATAGTTGAACTCAAAAAGAGTCAAGTTTTCCTGGTGCACGATGATAAACCACTGAGACACAAACCTTTTCCTTCTTTCCCCAATCAACGCTCCAATTTCTGTTAAGATCAACTCCTCTTCCTGTGTGAAGAAATAAGAGATTAAATAGTTGGCGCATAAACTGCTTCACGTGATGGATTTTTAAGAAAAAGACAATCACCATTTCTCCTATCACAAATCTCCCCTGCTTCAACGCGCTTACGGCCATTAAAATTTTCAATTGGCACCACCTAAAAAGATTAAAGGCAACTTTAGAAACCACTATACCTCCTGAGTTCGAGAGACCTATTACTAATGTGAACAGAAGTAATAACACGGGAAAGAGGTGGATGGGGGAGAAGGCAGACAAATATGAATGAAGGTAAAGAACAGCATGTGACCACATTTTTCCTTCTTTAAACTAGGATAACAGGATCTGCAATAATCATGATTATTTCTACTAAGAAAACCATGATTTTGAATTTGTAATCCATACAAAAGCACTTGAGGGAAACATACTTCATAAACATATTAAATAATACTGTGAATTTTGTCATGGGTATAACTTTGAGTGAATAATAATGCTTACAGAGTGCAGGAATAACATACGTAAAAGATCCCTAGTGCATAACAATTGAACAACGCGAGTAGATCAAAGTATAGTTTGATTTCAGAGAGCATCTATAAGAACAACTTCGAAAAGAAATGAACCTGATATTTCAATATCTAGAGTACTTTTTCAAAGAGCAGATCACCCTAAAAACTATACTAATTCGGTGCAGTGAATAGCAGAACAGTGAGCAGAATTGCTTCCCATAAATCTCTTACTAATTATGCATGCCAAGGACTGAAGATATAAAATAAGTTGCAGACGTACTAACTTTGATCACAAGGTGCTCCAGAATTTTCTCAAAGGATGATAGATCCACACCGGCAATTTTGCGCTTCTCCGTCAAAATGTAGAGCAGACTTAATGCAAGTTCAGAGGTAATAAGTTCTCTGCCATGCTGCCCAAAGCTCTGGAAGACAATGAACCTTCTGTCAAAACCGCAAGGCATCAATAATCTAATTTGCAAAATAACGTGCCAAAACTTATTGAAAGACATAATTGCATTTTCTTTATGTTGTTAAGCCACTGCCCACTACACCACCAAGGTGAGGGAGTTGTGAACTGAGCATACTTGATCTCGTGACGTTGGTTGGATGATACAAGAGGCTAAAGCTAACTAACTGGGGCAGAACGAAGCTTATGTTTGGGGGGAAATGCTGAGAGATATCTGTTGGTGTTGGGAACTAACCAGAAGGATTTTAATCTTCGAGCCAGCATGTACGGTTTTCTTCACATGATTAAAAGTAACAACGAGCATCTCCGCAGAATACCCTTTGTTACTAGCTCTTACTGTATCCATCTGCAACAGTTAATAAAAGACGGCGTAAAAATGCCACTTAATACCGAACCAAACCTGCCAATAACAGCTGAACAATGACAGTTAAGCCACTCACGGTCAACCTATCCGGATTCCGAGCAACGAGGGCCTTGATCTCGCTCAGAAGGGTATCACTGTGGAGCAAAAGAAACAGACCCAGTTAACCCAACGCTAAGCGTGGCAAAAGCACACAAAATTGGCAAAAGTCAATGCAGCAAACAAAGCAGAACAGAACACCCCCCTGGCCTTCTCTTTTTTCTGGACAAAGGGCATTTTCCCTAGATCCATTAATGAAGTAAGAACTGCAAGAACTAAACTTGGCACTGATACAATAGACACAGTAGGAACTTGACCTCTGGTGCTGTGCACAGCCAGCCATAGCCAGTAGCTCCCGTCGGGTAGCTAAAATGACAGACAGGGGTTGCAATTGCAGACAGTGACAGTCTGATAGACGTGTCTTGTTGAAGGTGGACTAACAAAAAATTGCCATACTGCGTCGATCCCTAATCAACTAGTAGCAGACGAGGTTGGAGAGCAGAACCCCGCGCCCATTGCAACCAGCAGCCGGCGCGTTAGACTACAGCGACAAGAAGATGCTCAATTCCAGGGGCTACCAGCTGAGACAGACCAGGCGCCGGACGCCGGACGCCGGACGCCGGGTGGCGCGTCCGTGTAGGCCGGCCGAGACGGAAGGAGGAGCTACCGGAACCCGCGAGGCGGGGAAGAAGCCACGAGACGCGCGGCGTACCTGGGGCGGTAGAGGTCCCGCGAGATCGGGGTGACGGAGGCCGGGATCTTCCTGGCGGCGGAGGCGGGGGAAACGAGGGCGGCGAGGGCGAGGGCCAGGGCCAGGGCCACGAGCCGGCGGGCGAGGGGCGGGGGCGGGGGCGCGGAGGGCGCCATCGCCGCTGCCTCCGCACGGCCGGCCGGAGCTGAGCTTTCTCCCTCGCCGGCGATCCGCCCGCGCGCGCGCGCTCCGACTCGCTCCCCGCTCTGCCTCGCGCCCGCCTCTCTCTGTCTCTGTCTCGCTCGCTTGTGTCGCGGGGATTAATTTGATTAACTCGCGGGGATTAATTTGTCAAATTTATACTAGTATTTGGATTAGTGGGGGGTCATTAGCAGTGTCTTTCGGTTCTTTTTCTAATCTGTTACCGTGTTGGGCTCGTGCGCACCAGAGCTCACGCACTGGAATTTTTTTTAAACCTTTTTTCGAGGTTAGTTCAAATCCAGTGTGGGTTGGGTTTGATGCCATCATGCAATCTTTTTTGCGAGTTTGATAATGGCCTTGGTGATAATGGTGGTCCAATGCACGCCATCTAAATTTTATGCATTTATAACACTTCCGTCCGTTTTAAGCCTTAACGGTGTTAAATAAAATTTAGACTTAAAGCTGCTCCCTCCGTACCATAATGTAAGACGTTTTTTTGACACTACACTAGTGTAAAAAAACGTTTTACATTATGGGACGGAGGGAGTCTCTACTTCTAATGGAACAGTTGGTAGTCTCGCTTCCAGGTTTTTTTTCGTCCCACCACTTTCGTTCGGGTTTTTTCGTAGGTTAACCGTTGTAGATTTTTTTCGTCGCCTCTCCCACTTTATCGGTTTATTTTCACTTCACCCTCTCATACAACGAAAAAAACTAAACGGATCAGAACTTTCCATACTGACGCAAATTATTTAGTAATGTCTTTATGTAAAAGAATCAATCACAATCAATCTCTAAAGATCAAATCTAAATTAATTAATCTTCATAAGGTTTGTTTCCTTCCGAATCACGTCCATAACTTTCCTTCCTTGTTTGGGCAGAAACTGTTTGATAGCAGAGATTGGAAGCTTTCTATAAGTGTAGTAATAGAAAGTATTCTTTTTCTTTATGATTCGTTTCCATGCATGATGATAGTAAATTAGGCCAACATTCACCACTATTTATCAATGCCATCAATCGTATCCATTCCTATCAATTTTAAGGGAATCTGCTCGCTATGTCTTTTTTAAGGGGATCCGCTCGCTAAGTCGTCGTCGCACGTTATTTTCACAAGCAATTCCCCCTAAAAAAGGCGTGGGTATTGGTAGTTGAACGCCCGCTAGGTTTTCCGCCTGTCCCATCCTTGCGCTGTGTCGTCGCCACCCGCCGAATTTCCAGCCGCCCGAGCCCGTTAACTTCGCCAGCCATCGGGTCGACTCCTAATGGAGCAGTTGGTAGTCTCGCTTTCAGGGTTTTTTTTCGTCCCACCATTTTCGTCCGGTTTTTTTCATAGGTTAACCGTCGTAGATTTTTTTTCGTCGCCTCCCCCACTTCATCGGTTTATTTTCACTTCACCCTCTCACACAACGAAAAAAACTAAACGGATCAGAACTTTCCATACTAACGCAAATTATTTAGTAATGTCTTTATGTAAAAGAATCAATCACAATCAATCTCTAAAGATCAAATCTAAATTAATTAATCTTCATAACGTTTGTTTTTTCTTCCAAATCACGTCTATAACTTTCCTTCCTTGTTTGGGCAGAAACTGTTTGGTAGAGAGATTAGGAAGCTTCCTATGAGTGTAGTAATAGGAAGTATTCTTTTTCTTGATGATTCGTTTCCATGCATGATGGTAGTAAATTAGGCCAACATTCACCACTATTTATCAACGTCATCAATCGTATCCATTCCTACCAGTTTTAAGGGAATCTGCTCGCTATGTCTTTTTTAAAGGGATCCGCTAGCTAAGTCGTCGTCGCTCGCAATTCCCCTAAAAAAGGCGTGGGTATTGGTAGTTGAACGCCCGCTAGTTTTTCTGCCTGTCCCATCCTCGCGCTGTGCCACCGCGGCACCGCCACCCGCCGAATTTCCAGTCGCCCGAGCCCGTTAACTTCGCCAGCCATCGGGTCGACTGCCCCCGCCCCAAACCCCCATCCCCGAGCACTAGCTATCACCGCGTTGCCGCCCCAAGCTCCACGCCACCGGGAACGAATCAAGCGCCGTCCTGACACCGCCGTCGCCGGCCCAGCACCTCCAGCCTTGCATGGACCGTTTCAATGTGCAGTCTCCCTTGCTGTCTCACCTTCTGCCAGCGCATGCAGCGGCGGGGTTGGACGCGTGCGTGCTTGCTAGCTTGCTCTCCGTGCGTACGTACTTGCTCTGCGTGCGTCGCACCGGCCAATGCGCATGATGTGTGTGTGCCTGCTTTTCTGTATGTGTATGCCAGCGTGATGCGTGTGTGCGTTGCTGTGTGTGTATGATATAGATGGCCTGAGTGTGTGCATGCTGTGCTCTGCTCTCTGCTGATCTATGTGTTGGTGCTCCTGCTATATGTTCATGCCATACAAATGAAATTTCTGTTAATCTTCTGACATGTTGAGTTGGTTCTCTCTGTCTTCTGAGAGGGTGAATGCAAAGCAGTCTATTAAGCCAGGCACTATTGCTGAGCTAAATTGACAAAAAAATATTGATAGCCATAGTTGTAGTTTAAGTAGTAGCGAGTTGTCTGATATGTATAAAGAGCCCGTTGCAACTGAGCCCGTTGCTAAATTGATAAAAAAGGTCGCCAGTGTCACTTGATATGTATGAGAATATTAAATGTATTATTAACATGATTAATATTGAACTTTTAAAATTAATGTGGCCCCGTTGCAACGCACGGGCGTTTTTCTAGTAGTAGATAGGGAAGAAAAAGTTGGTTGATGTCAAACAAGGAAACAAAAATTAAAACGGTTTGCTAAACAAGGAATTCTTTCGAGACTTTTTTTTTAAAAAAAATGGACGCTTTCATTTTGGTAGGCTTTTACTTTTCTCAGCTGCATGATGAATGATGTGACGTTTAACTTGGTAGGCTTTTATTTTGCTTTTGTATGGAAGGAATGAAACCAGATCAGGTTCGCCAGTTGATGTCGCAATTGGACGCAAGCCACACCCTCGGCCTTGACGGCATTGCCACGTCCATACCCTATAGCCAAGAAATGAGAAGGAATGCCGAGGTAGTGGTGGAGGATGAAGTTGGAGAGGTCGAGAGGACGAGGAGCCGTAGGCCCAAACAATGAAAAAAAAATGGCTCAATGGTTGTGCAACTACTAGCCGGAAGAGATGGTCGGGAGCGATCGAATGAAGAACCCATGGTTTAGTTGTTTGTTGGACTGGATGAAGTTTATCAATTTTCATAATTAAATTATGTTGTGGTGCATTTATTTGGGTTTGCGCAAACATTTCGATAAATTTGAAAAAAAAATTGAAGGAAGAAGTAGACAAACAAAAGTATAATTTCTAACAAATATAAAATTAAAAGATAAGGATATGATGGGGAATTAAGATATGAGGGATGTTGCAGGGATGCCCTAAAGGACTAAAATTTGGTGGAAGCCAGCGAGAGGATTTTTGTTTTTCCAATTTTCTATGACAAGAAGAATTGTAGATTAACATATACTATGATGTACTCAACTCCTTTTTAACACAGTGCAATCATAGATGTTCACATACAGGCACATACACTCACCCTTATGAACGTACGCACATACATTATATTCTCTCTGAGATACTAAGACGACATCACATCTTAAGATTCACGAAGTCACCATGACGTCTCGCAGTCGACGGGTATGTCTTTTTTCACTGAAGGAACATCGTCAAAAAATTTGAAATAAATTCAGAAAAATGCGAGCATCAATGATAAATCTAAAACTTGAACCTAATGGCCTAGTTTCAACACAAGAAATCTAACCAGATGCGATCCAAACATTTTAAAGAGGACAAAATGCAAGCATCGGTCTAGATGGCAGTACTCGGAACTCACTTCCACAGCGACATGATGTGGTTCACTAGCTTATCGACACTGTGGCGAGACGACCCACCCTCGGCGATGGCCTCCGCCGCTCTGCTCCGGAGCTCCTGGGCTCGCCCCCTCATCTCATCCCCCTCCTCGCTCCGCATGAGCCGCCGGACGGCCGCCTCCACGGCGCCCCGCTCGAGCACGCCGCCACAGTCCAGCGCGATGCCCGCGCGCCACACGTGCTCCACGTACCTCGCGTTGCCCATCTGGTCCCCGAAGCAGGGCCGGCAGAGCATGGGCACGCCCCCGCACGCGCCCTCCAGCGCCGAGTTCCACCCGCCGTGCGTCCAGAACCCGCCCACGCCCGCGTGCGCCAGCACCTCCTCCTGCGGCGCCCAGCCCACCACCAGTCCACGGCCTTCGGTCGCCGCCGCGAACCCGTCGGGCAGGGCGGCCCCGCGGGCGAGCCCCGGCCGGAGCGCCCACAGGAACGGCTGGCCGCTGTTGGCCACGCCCCACGCCGCCTCGGCCAGGTCCTCGCCGCTCATGCTCGCCAGGCTGCCGAAGCTGATGTACAGCACGGACGCCGGGGCCTGCGCGTCCAGCCAGTCGAGGCAGGAGCGGTCCTGCTGCAGGAGGCTGCTGGACGACGCCGGGGAGAGCTTGTGGAGCGGGCCGACGTCGAACACCGGCACGCCGGCGAGGTCTCGCCGGGTCGCCGCCAGGTCGGCGGCCTCCAGCGCGTCGAAGGTGTTGAGGATGAACCCCGCCGAGGTCCTCACCGCCTCGACGGCGCGGGCCAGCAGCTTGCACACCAGATCGTGCTCGTGGCGGCTGCCGGTGACGGCCATCAGGTCCCGGACGCGGTACGGCGGCAGCTCCCTCACCGGCGCGTCCAGCTGCGACTCCGCGCTCGCCGGGAGGTAGCCCTTGTCGCAGAGCATCGGGGTGGCCATGAAATTGCGGAAGCAGGCGGCGCTGCCGGTGCGCAGCGCCAGCGCCGGCACGCCCCGCTGCCGCGCCACGTCCATGAGGGTCAGCAGGTGCGCGTCGGCGACCAGGCACGCGACCTCGTCCCTGCCGCCAGGAGCCTCCAGCAGGGCGGCCAGGCGCTCCCGGAACGGCGCCTCGCAGGAGCTGTTGATGGCGAAGATGTGCTCGACGGTCGCCGCCACCGTGCCGGGGCTGCCCGCCGGCAAGCCGTCGGGGACGGGCACGAAGTCGTAGGTCGGGTGGCGGGACGGGTCGGGGGCGTTGAAGTGGGTGTGGAAGACGGTGATGGCAAAGCCGCGCTCGTGGAGGAGGCCGGCGAGCTGGAACATGGGGTTGATGTGGCCCTGGTACGGGATAGGGAAGACCAGCACGCGGCGGCGGCGCGGGCCGCCGGTGGTGGCCGTGTTTGCTTCTCCCGGCGCCATGAAATCGATGGCTGCCGCGGTATCCTAGGTTCCACTTCCGGCCGGGGCCAACGGGGTTGGTAGCCGGCACTCTGGCAGCGGCACTTCGCACGGTGACCACGCGCGAGGTGCGTGCATATATGGGAAGGAGTAGCGAGACACTGATTTTAAGGTTGGTAGCCGGCTTGCTCTCTTCCCATGCTTCCATCCGTGCTCCTAGTTCATCCTACGATTGTCTTTTTCTCTTTTTTCTTTCTAATTTAATCATCTCTCCCTGATTTTAAGGAGGTAAAGTCAGACCTTATTTTGTTTCAATCAAACTATGCCATATATACAGGAGCACAGATGGACGCACGCCGGAGAGCAAGCAAGTCTCGTCCCGGAATCTAGGGAGACAGGACAAATGAGATGGAACCTGGCAAAGCAACTGCAATTATCGGCGACCATTTGGTTACTATGCTTGACAAAGATTGAACACAACGGGGTGGCTATTTTGGCTCTGGGTGCATATGCTCTATCCGATGTGTTTTAGCCGATGCAGTTAAAAAACCGATCTGATAAAAAAGACTAGGCAATATATTTATACGTTTTACCACAAAAAAACATATTTATACATCAACACTCCCCGAATGATCAATAAATCTAAAATAAATAGTAAATAAACTTCAAAAGTTTTGAAATTTTTTTGCAGATGTTCTTGTTTTTCTTCTTCAGGAAATGCAGATGTTCTGTTAGTGTAACAAGCGTGCTTGAAATTTTTGTTTCATATGGACCATGAAAATTTTAGTCTTTTTATCATGACAAATTCAATTTGTATATGGATCATGGCATTCTTTTTTACTTTATGCACCATAGCAAATGTAGTTTTGTAGGTAGAATGAAAATTTCACGAAAGAAATACATTAATTAGGCATGGCAATTCTTTTTAGACCATGATATTTTTCTAGAAGGATTGGGCGCTTTGATGCGCGGTTGGTGTTGTTGGGTTTCTTTAAAAAAAATACTCTGTTTCAAATATAAGGTGTATTACTTTTTAGAAAAGGCAAACCTTTTAAGTTTGATCAAATTTGTAGAGAAATATATCAAAATTCATAATACCAAATCAATATTTTTAGATTCATCATTAAACGAATTTCCAAACTTTTTTGTTTAATATTGTGGATGTCAATATTTTTGCTCTGAACCTGGTCAAAGTTAAATAAATTTGACTTTCTAAAAAATTACTACCCCTTATTTTTGCAACTGATAGAATATTTAGTTTGGTGTGTGGGAGAGATGATAGTGCGTTATATTTTATTTATAATGCGCTGATTTGGTGGGCCATTTGTGGTGTCATTCCGTGTGATCCGCTAACCAAAATATATTTATGTGGAGAAATTTCTGTGTCGGTGGTCGCATATACTATATTGGTGTTACAATATCACATGGTGACGCTTCTCTTTTTCCAGGACCAAGGAAAAAATTGGACATTGGAAAACTTCTTTCTTAATGTATCATGGCAAAACTTATATTTTTCTAAAATTTTCTGTGTTCTTTTATATAACAAAATTTGTCATTTTTTAAAATACCAAAAATCCCTCGCTTTTGCCATGCACCCATCACCAATCCAAAAAAGTTGCCATGAATGTTTGGATAACGAAATTCGTTAACTTGTTATTTTTAATTTTATTTGTGGGTAGCATGGCATTTATTTTTTTATTTTTCTTCGTACCATGTTGATTGTACAAACATACTCTCTCCGTTTCTAAATATAAGTCCTTTTAGACATTTCAAATGAACTACGAGATATGGATGTATGTAGACACATTTTAGAATGTAAATTCACTCATTTTGGTTACTATGCTTGACAAAGATTGAACACAACGGGGTGGCTATTTCGGCTCTGTGTGCATATGCTCCCCGAATGATCAGTAAATTTAAAAATAAATGGTAAATAAACTTTGAAAGTTCTGACTTCGTTTTCTACAGATGTTCTTGTTAGTGTAACAAGCGTGCTTGAAAATTTTGTTTCATATGGACCATGAAAAAATAGTCTTTTTATCATGACAAATTCAATTTGTATATGGGTCATGTCAACCTTTCTTACTTTGTGCACCATAGCAAATGTAGTTTTTGTAGGTAGAATGACAATTTCACTATTAAGCTTTTAAGACCATGGGAAAAATACATTAATTAGGCATGGCAAAAAAATTAGACCATGATATTTTATTTGCGGGTATCATGGCAATCTTTATTATTTATAGTATGGCAATCTTATTATTTATACTATGGCAATTTTATTAATTATAACGTGGCGACTTCATTTTTTTGCAACATGGCAATTTTTGTTTTCATGAACCCATGACAAATTAGTTTATGGAGCATGTTAATCATAGTTATTGAGCCTTGGAAAATACACTTTAATGGACCCTGGGAATTTTTAATTCACGAACGAACCATGAAAAACTTGTCTTTTTTTCAGGACCATGGAAAAAATTGGACATTGGCAAACTTCTTTTTTAATGTACCGTGGCAAATTCACTGCATGTATCATGACAAAACTTACACTTTTCTAAAATGTACCGTGTTCTCTTATATAACAACATTTGACATTTTTTTTCTTTTTTTTCAAATACCAAAAATCCCTCGCTTTTGCCATGCGCCCATCACCCATCCAAAAAGGTTGCCATGATTGTCCGGATAACAAAATTCCTTAGCTTGTTATTTTTTTTATTTTTTTTTGTAGGTAGCATGGCCTTTATTTTTTATTTTTCTTCGTACCATGTTAATTGTACAAACATAGTATACTACTTGTTAAGTTTTTCTTGTTTTTCTTTGACAAAATTGTGTTTCATGCATGGCAAACTTGCGTTCAAACATTTGGCATTGGGTGAAGGGTTCGTTTCAGAAACAATGATGGCTTTCCCCTAAAAAAAATCAAAAAGAGAAACAATGATGGCTGGATATCGAACCAAAAGACTAGAAAAATCATCATGAAGATAATGAAACACGGGTATAACATACGAATATGAAGCCCGAACAAAAGCTACCGGCACCATATTTACAGATTTGTAAATCATTATTCGTTTTGTGATTCACTCCAATTATTCATTTCAAACCAAACATGGATTGCAATCACCGTAGAACAGATTAGGGGAGGAGTAGAGTAATTCAGAGCTTGCTGGTGGAGAGGCTGCCCATGGCCTTGGCCTTCTCCCGGAGCGCGAACTTCTGCACCTTGCCGGTCGCCGTCTTGGGCAGCTCCTCCACCACCACCACCGTCCTCGGCGCCATGTACCGCGGCAGCCTGCCCCGGCAGAACGCCACCACCTCCTCCGGCTCCACCCTCTCCCCATTCTTGGCCACCACGAACGCGCACGGCGTCTCCCCCCAGTGCTCGTCCGGCCGCCCCACGACGGCCGCCTCCGCCACCGCCGGGTGCGCGAACAGCGCCGCCTCCACCTCGATGGTGCTGATGTTCTCCCCGCCGGAGATGATGATGTCCTTGGACCTGTCCCTGATCTTCACGTACCCGTCCCCGGGGACCCGCACCGCCAGGTCGCCCGACCGGAACCACCCGCCGGCGAGCGCCTCCGCCGTGGCGGCCGCGTCCTTGTAGTACCCGCTCATCACCGTGTTGCCGCGGAACATCACCTCCCCCATCGTGGCCCCGTCGGCGGGGACGCTGCGCATGGTGGCGGGGTCCTTGACGTCCACCTCCAGGCCCAGGTGGTGGAGCCCCTGCCGCGCCTTGATCGCCGCCCGCTCGCCCGCCGGCAGCGCGTCCCACTCGGGCTTCCACGTGCACACCGTGGCCGGGCCGTACGTCTCCGTCAGCCCGTACGAGTGGATCACCAGGAACCCGAGCTCCTCCATCCGGAACAGCACGGCCGGCGGCGGGGGCGCGCCGCCGGTCATCACGGCCACCTTCCTCCCCGGCGGCAGCGGCCGCCTCTCCTCCGGCGCGGCGTGCACGATCATGCCCAGCACCGTGGGCGCGCCGCCCATGTGGGTGACCCCGTGGCGGGCCACGGCGTCGAAGATGGCCGCGCCGGTGACCTTGCGGAGGCAGACGTTGGTGCCGCCCTGCGCCGCCACGCCCCACGCCATGCACCAGCCGTTGCAGTGGAACATGGGCACCGTCCAGAGGTACACCGGCATGGACGCCATGTCGTTGAGCAGCACGGCGGCGAGGCTGTTGAGGTACGCGCCGCGGTGGGTGTAGATCACGCCCTTGGGCCGCGACGTCGTGCCCGACGTGTAGTTGAGCGCGATCGGCTCGTTCTCGTCCGCCGGCCACCGGGCCGCGAACTCCGGCGACCCGCCCCCGCTCACCAGAGCCTCGTACTCGTGCTCGGTGCCCGTCGTGCCGGATAAAGAAGATGTTGATCCGTCGTCGTCGCAGCCGTGGAGGAGCTCTCTGATGAGGACGACGGCGGGGGGCGTGGCGCCGGCGTCGGACAGGAGGCGGAGGGCCTCCCGCGCGACGCCGAGCAGCGCGGCGTCCATGAAGAGGACCCTGGCCTCCGAGTGGCGCAGCAGGACGGAGGCCATGGCGGCGTCGAGGCGCGAGTTGAGCGCGCAGATGACGGCGCCGGCCATGGGCACGGCGAAGTGCAGCTCGCACATCGCCGGGACGTTCTGCGCGAACACGGCGACCTGCCATCAAACGGCGCAAGGCACAGCCGGTCAGAAGAGACCCACTCGACGATCGCAGCGAGTCAGAACCAATCCGGCACACGAAAGATGGCGATTTTTGGAGGAAAATCAAAGTGCAGCCGACTGCTGCGACGACGATGGAGAGTAGAGGAGCTGATGCTATGGAACAGAGTTGCCCTGTGACTGTGACTCTCTAAAAGAAAAGGAAGAGGAGCAAACGAGCAAGCAACAGAGAGTTGGGGCTCCGGTGTGGATCTTACGTACCACGTGGCGGCGCCGGACGCCGAGGCCGGCGAGCGCGGCGGCGAGGCGGAGGCAGCGGGCCCGGGTCTCGCGCCACGTCCGGGGCGGCGCGTCGCCGGCGGCGGCCACGACGGCGGGGCGGTCCGGGTAGACGAGCGCGGAGCGCTCCAGAAAAGAGAGGGGCGTGAGCGGCGCGTGGTTGGCGGCGCAGAGCACGGCGCCCTCCATCGTCTTCATCCCCCGGCCCGTCGGCGGCGAGCTGCTAGCAGGCTGAAGACACGGCGAGGTTCGTGAGCAGGGAGGGAGGCTCGTGGGGCTCGTGGTGGGATTGTTTCTGGTTTTCGGCTTCGGTGAGGCGAATACAATACTGCCGCTGATGCCGATATCGAGTGGAGCAGAGCGAGCGTGCGCGCGCGAGGGGCGCACGCACGACGCACTCACCGTCAGCGTCATCCTGTCGAGCCCGACGGCGTATCCGCACCGAAAAGGGCCGGGCCGCGTGGGTCCCGCTCCCCAACGGGACAGAGATCGACGGAGCAATGACGAAAACAAGAGCCTGAAACGGAAGAGCTGCGACAAGAAGCGACCTCCAAATGGCACCGCCATTTGTCAGACGCAGCTCTAAAAAGGAACATGTCACCGCTTCCTAGGAGTACTTATTCCCATCCATCGCCGCCCAAGGTGCTCGGCGACACGCGAGCTTAAATAGGACAAGCAGAACCGTCGCCGATCATCCGGTCAGTCAGACGGACCAGCCGTCGTCGCTGCAACTTCCAACCAACCAGCAACAAAAACGTAGCGCGTGCTCTGGTATCTCCTCTCCACTCTTTCCGCGTTTTGCTCGATGCAAATCGCTTCCCTGCCCGAACCCGCGCTGCACACCGGCGACAGACTACAAAAGAAGCAGCCTTCTGAATCCAGCGGACTGCACTACAAGCGTAGGCCAAGGACACATCAAGATCAATGTGGTTGATTCATGCATCAGTTTTCCCCAACATCTGGAACTGGAAGACAAAAAAAAACGACAAGCATATACGGCGAGCGAAGCTCCGCTCGATTGCGAGCAGCAAACAGCACATTCCACAAAACTTGAGTTGGGCGGACGTCTACTTCACCGGGAGAAACGGGGATCGGAGACCCGCGCGCGTGATCATGATGAGGCCGGCTTCAGATCCATCTCCACCTGGTGGATCGTCCACTGCATGCCCTCCAGTTTCTGCGGTTCAGGATCATCAGGTCAGCACGCGGTTCAGGATCATCAGGTTAGCACAGAGACACGTAGAGCGTGCTGCATACGGTAGTTAACGGCGATGGAAATGAAACAGCATTACCTTCACGATCTCATGGTACTGCCTCGCGATCACGTCAAAGTGCGGGTCTACGCCTTGGTACTCGCGGAGCCGTGAGACCTGACATGGGGGATCAGAACACCAAACATGACCGTTAGATGAATGAAGTGGACACTGGATGGTCTTCTTATCGGATTAGGTGGGTCCTGAATTATACAAGATGGCATACTTTATTTCTCTCAAGTCTAAAAATGCAGCTAAAATTGATAACTGTACAATACATTATACATCTTCTAAGCATTTTGACATCTCTGGATATTAGGTAAGGTGAACTGAACACCGGCAAAAAAAAAAAGGTAAGGTGAACTGAACTTGCCAGATTCTCAATGCACCCTAAGAAACTCAACATCAACTAATTGACTGGTACTGCTACAGAAGTACCTTCACATAACTTCCAAGGACACACAACATTCAATTTTCAGCAGGATGGACCCTCATCAGTGTCCCTTGGCCGCTAGCTTCTTTGACATTCTCAAAAGCAGGATTGACTGGTAACTCTCATACTCTTTGTGAGCTTATGTCAAAATTTACTGAAGGTGTGAACACCATGCTCCATGATAAAGGTCTCACTCACATGACTGAACGAGTTTACTCATATAACAGAAAGCACGTGGGACTTGCTTAATTTCGACCAGTGGTATATCAGTGCCAACGACCGCCCTACACCTATCTTAAGAACCGATAAGCTAACCGTCCATAAGTCTAAATGGAAAACAATCGTAGTTAAACGTTTCTAACGACATTGGGTGATTATGAAAGGGCCTTAACTGACGAATTACGTTTGCTACCAGTGACCAAACATTTGAAAGACTAACACAGAGCAAGGAAGATGTCGTATCATACCGCTTCATTATACGAATTGGATGCTTCTTTCGTTGCCTCCACAAGATATTTCCTGCAATAAGCAGTAAATCTGGTAAGGTGGTTGCTTACTACAGAGAAAACACCTACACATGATTCTCGTTTGGAAATAATAAGTGCTGCTTCCCTCAATGATAAGATCGGTTTCAAGGTACATTAAGTTGGATGTACCTGATTCTATGCAATGCAGGTACTGTTTCCTTCGTGTAGGTGTCACGCAAGAGATGGTGCTCCAGGTAGCTGGAATAAAAAGGAAAGAAAAAAATGCAGTTCATTCAGTCTTCTGATCCTATCACTGATTATAGAATAAAAATACATAAAAGGCAGAGAGATCCAAAGCTCAATGGTTTTTTTCTAGCAAGAGCTTATATAATGCTGTTCAATTATGCTGAACGCGATACAGATTAATATCAGCTTAGTGAAAACTGAAAAGTTACACACTAGTCCAACATTAAGGTGCCGACAAGTCAGGTGCCAACCTTAGTTTAGCATTCATAGTACGGCATCTTTTAATAAGCCAGGTCTTCTTCACATCATCCTGTTAGGCCATACATAGAAAGCCAACAGACGTCAAGAAATAGTACTAACCCCATTAATAAGTACCAGTATAAAAGGAGCATGAAAAAGCCTTACATATTGGTGCTGGTGTTCTAACTTCTTGTCTTTAACAAACTGTATAAGTACAGCAAGAATTTGCTCCAGGACCTTGGAAGTTTGAACAGCCACAAATATTTTGACAGATTTCAGCGAATGAATTTGCATTAAATAAAGTGGACTAGCCACCAAAGTTATGTTTAAGAAATTTGTCCGCCTATGAAGACTCACATTATAGTGCTCAGCAAATTTCCTGTCCATCGAAGCAAGATCCTCCAGTAGAAGGGACTCTTCCTTTTCTATTCCTTCGATAATTAATTTCACCCTGCCCAAGGAGAAAAGGGAACTAAGATAAGTGTCTATAAGGAACTCCCAGTTAATCTTTAATTCCAAACAAGAAAGGTGAACAACTGGGCATTGTCAACAAGAAGTTAACTATATAAATGATGGGGCTGTCCAAAGAGAAGAGATGACATCAGTACTATAAAAAAGCTCTAAAAATCGATGTAAGATGTTACAAGAAAAATGATGATAGTTTCTTCAGAAATTACACCTGGCCAAAGAAAACTTGGTTGTGTAAAACAACAATCATAAGAGAGAATAAGATGGGAAGATAATCACCTTTCTGGAAGCCTGGCACTTGAAATCTGATTGATGGATGACGAATCTGCAACATATTCAAATGTTATGATGAGAGAAGGTCAAAGCTTATAGATCATTAAAAAAAACGATATCTGAAAGTCCATGAGATTCAGTATTTCAGTAACCAACCCCTTTCATCCATTGCAAAAAGATCAGCTAAAGCGTCACACTTAGCTTCTAACCGAGCCTCAATCTCTCTGGCCACAGATCTCTGATACTCGACCATGTCCTGCAATGTCAGATAACGGGTGGATGCTTTCAAACATAAAACCACTTTTTTCACTTTGACTAAAACCAAACGATCACTGCAATTAAGAACTAAGCAATAAAAAGTTTCACAATTCCACGAAGAACATACATGAATTACACAACACTTAAACAAATTGTGAAATCACTTGGTGATAGTTCAGAAAATAACTTAAGACTGCGAGAGCTTCAAGGATTTTACATACCACAGTCATGGCTGGCTGCTGTTGCTGCACCTGATAGAGATAATCCGATGTTATCCCAAGAAAACGATCAGGAACACCACCTGCGCCTGGCTCAACCAGCTCCGAACCACCACCACCAGCGGCAGCACCAACAGTCAATGCACTACCGGTGCTGCCATAGTTATTGTAGCCAGTCGAGATTGAGGTTGAGCTGGGCGTGGCACTTGTTCCGGTACTGTCAAATGAAACCCTTGACAAGGTGCTCAGCTTTTCTATCTCCTCCTCATGCACCTCCCCGTCCTGCGAGAGCAGCGGGAGCCTCAACCTCTGGGCCGCCTCCGCTACCGCCAAATGGTGCTCCAGAGACTCGTACACCTACATCATTCCCAGCAAAGTAAGTAAGCTCCCATTAGTCCATTTTTTGTCAGGTAGTTTCTGGATCACCACCCAAATTGATCAGATAAGCAGTAAACATTTCCTACTTCTTTAACCAGATTGATCCACATTTCTAACCCTATCTGCACGAATCACCGGACAGGTGCGACCATTTGAGAGACTGTGAGAAGCTGAACCCACCTCCGGGGAGCAGTTGAGCTTCTTGGCGGCACCGGCGCTGCCCGCGGCGGTCGCGTGCTGGTACTCCTCCACCATGGCCATCGCCTCCGCGTACACCGCCTACGGAATAGTCATATCAGATCTGATCAGAACCGCGCGAATTCTAGATCGGGCGAGCGGGCGGGGGGCAAAACTCACCAGGGCCTCGAGGTAGCGCGCGCGCTCCGCCGCGACCTCCTCGCGCGCCTGCGATTGCAGAACACCGGATCAGTGGTGAGAGAGAGGGGAGGTTGGGTGGCGCGCGCGCGGCGTACCTGGAGGAGGTCGGAGTGGGCGGAGCTGGAGAGGAGGGAGGCGTCCGGGGCGAGGTGGTGGCGCTGGAGCTGCTCCACCAGGTGAGCCACCTCCGGAGGCGGTGGTGGCAGGGACGCCGCGGCGGCGGCGGCGGCGGCGGCCTTGGACATCGCGGCTTCGCGGGCGGCGGCTCCGGCGGAGGCTTCGACGAGTTGGTTCCAGGTTGGCGTTCGAACTGGTGGGAATGGGTGCTGGATTCGTCCAGGTCGAGGAAGCCCACAGCGGTTGGATCGGACAGGGACGGGCGAGATCGACCGGGGTTGCGGCCGGCCGGCCGGCCGGCTTATCACAGGATGAATTTGAATTTGAATATCGGAGCCACTGATGCGAGATGTCTATGGAGGCAGGAATGCTAGCACTAGAAATACGAAAACACGTGAATAGAGAAAATTATGCAACTCAAATATCATGACATATGTTCCAAACCATTGAAAAAATTTAC